CACTGAGATGTTCTGAACAAAAGTGACTGATGTCACCATCCTCAAGCCCCACCTTCTGCACAGGTGTGGCCACCTGCACAGGTAGTAGCCAAAAAACCTTCAGGTTGAACTGAAGAGACATAAAATGTGGATTTTCTTTAGAATAAAAATTAATCTGTTCACAATCAAAATTCTTAGTAAGATGGAGGTTTTATTGTAATCGCAGTGAATAAAGTCCCCTCAGATTTCTCTTTGAGGTTAAAGTTTCTACACATGGGAAAGCAAAGGCAACACAAAGCAGTGCATCCAAAATAATGTAGTTATGAAGACATGTAGTCTTTATTATTTGTTCTAACTTCCCATATGAAACTATATTTTATTTTATTCCACCTTTTTTTATAACATTGTCATCCCTGATTTGTTAATCCTGCAGCCTCCATAGGAAGACTTACAGTTGGTAACAGACACATTAATAAATAGCTGCATTTCAGTCTGTTAGAAACCATTTCAACATGTTGTTACACTTCTAATAAATCCCACATGGACTCTCTTCTCAACCCTGCCTCATCACCTGTCCAACACCTGTGTGTGTTTGTGTCTCTTCACCTTGTATCCCAGCCGGGCGGCGCGCTGCAGCAATGTCTCTCCGGCGTTCTTGTTCACGATGAGCCGGCGGACCTCCGGAGGGACGGGTCGGAGAGAGTGTGTGTACACGGGTCCATGTCCTGGTGAGCAAGGTGGTTCTGATGGTGAGACCTGTGTGTTTGTGTGTGGGGGGGTGGGCAGATGTAAAGCGATTAGCATGTGCTGAAGGGTTGGTTTTATTACCCGCAAAGCAATTAAAACACACACAGACCAACAGGCATTGGCTCGCTCTCCTTCTGCATCCATCACTGTCAGATGCTTTTACTTAACATGGAGGCTGTCTGCCAAACACACACACCTGCACCAAGACAAAGACAAACACACACACTAAAAGAAAACACAGAAAGCTCTCGAGTTGTGAGAGCAGAGGTGGTGACAGTGCTATTTTTGACCGAGTCTGGAAAACTAGGGCTGTGTGTGTGTTGGTGTGTGCATCTTAGTGTGTGTTTTCCTTTAGTGTGTGAGTGTGTAGAGCCCAAGGCTGATGACAGAAAACTCAGGAGACCGGGGAGGAGGGGGATATGTCTTAAAGTAAAAGAAAGAGAAATGAGGACTCGCTCTCTCCACTGTCTCCATGCCTTGTTCGCCCCTGTCCCTCTTGTTTTCTTCATGTTTTTCCTTTCTGTTTCCTCAATGGTGATACTGCATGCTGCTGCCATGCAGGATCAGTCTCTGACTCTAATGTAAACCCAAGAGTGCCTTCTGTCAGGCTTGGCAATCCTCCTGGTGGAGTTCCACAGGGCTCTGTTTTAGGCCCCATTTATTTTTTCTCTTTACACTGCCACTCTGCTCTTCGACAAACACATCCTTTTTAACTGTTAGGGCATCAGTATCTGGTCAAATGGTCAAACAGTGTCTGAATCCCCCATCCTAATGTCAGAACTCAAGGGGGTTTAGACACAATCTTAAGGTGCAGACATGTGGGGAGCATTTGAAACGGTAGCCTCAGGAGTGTATCTCAGATGATGTAGTTCTGGGCCTCATAAGACACTTCAGACAGTTTGCAGACTTGTGTGAGACAGGGATGAGAGCCAGCACCTCCAAGTCTGACGAGAAGCTGGACTCAGAGTGGGCAAGTTGCCACCTCAGGTGAAGGAAATCAAGTATCCTGGAGTCTTGTTCACAGATATATATGTATGATGGACCGGACAGGCGTCAACAGCACCACACTGGGAGCAGAACTCAGGCGCCAAGCTGCGAATGTTATGACACATCTTTGTTCCAAACCTGGACTGTGGCACAGAGTGCTGGGTTACCACCAAAACAATGAGATCTCAAATAGATGTGGATTCATTTGCCGAGTGTCTGGGCTCCTTCGCAGAGAAGGGGTGAGTAGCAGAGCTGCTTCATGTTGAAAGGAGGCAGTCTGGCCGTCCAATCAGGACTTCTCCTGTGGTGCTATTCTTAGCATTTCCAACTAGGAGGAGACCATGGGGAAGATCTGGAACAAGACGGAGGGATTATGTCTCCCACCTAGCCTGGGTAGGCCTCAGGAAGCCTAGGAAGAGTTGAAGGATGTGACTAATGGAAGGTCATAGAGGCTACACTGCTTAGCCTGTTACTGCCATTTGGAAAGTGTGAAGAATATGATGGATGGACTATTCAACACCCCAAATTGGCAAATAAGGTTCAGCTGAGGTACAGACCTAGTGCTAATGCTAATACTAGCAGACCTACTAGTGCAGCTGCTAAACCAACCCATGGAAGTATTCCATCCTACAGCAAAGAAGGCTGTAAGAGTTAACGACTCTGACACCAGGGTTAACGTGTTTGTGTGGCTGTGGTGTGTAGCAACAGTCTCCAGGTGCAGCATTGTCTTGTTCAGTGGCTCTAAGGCAGAAGTGGAACCAGACACCTTACAGACTTAAATTCTGCTTGATTGCAAAGGGAATTCTTACTTCTACACAGTAATGTTAGCCCATATCACATTCAGAACTCCACTGACTTTTTTGTCATTTTAACTACATTTATATTGTAGTTAATAGTATAATCTGGAACTTTTCCCTTGTGTGATACATCATAATACAAGTATATTTCTGTCCTTTCACTCACCATGTGTGTACTTGTACTTAAATTGATGAAAATGTTAAAATATTTTTCTTTCATATTTTTCTTAATTAAAGCTAAAATGCATTTAATTTGCCTATAACTTCTAAATGAGGATAGTCAAGGGCGAGTGGAGATGGCTGAAGATCGGCATTGCTGAGCTTCCGACGCCAAGGCAACAGTCTCCACCGTTTAGCAGCCAGACAGCGTGTGCGTGCTAATGTGCTTGTGTGTGTCACTGTGTGTAATGTGTGTGCATGTGTCAAATGAAGCTGCTTGCTGCCACACATCGACAAACAGGATGTGAGCTTTGCCCTGGAGGTGTGTGAGTTTTGGTGTGTGTGTGTTTTCTAGCGCAGCAGTCAAACAAGAAGGAGGAGGGTCGAGCAGTGTGTGTGTGTGCGTGTGCGTCCTCAATGCCCAGAGGAAATCTCTGGTGCAGCAGCTGTCAAAACGCCACAAGCCGCTGCCACACACACAGACACACTACATGTGGAGAATATTATGCTTCCTCCATAACCTACGATCACTCTATCCCTCCCTCGCTCGCTCGCTTTCTGAATTAAATTACACAAACGCAATAAACACACACACATGCATGTGTGTGCGCGCACACACACACACACACACACACACATGGCCCTGCTGAGTTTTCCCAGTGAGCTCCAATCAGGATGATAATTGCAGCGATTAACAGAGAGGGAAGAAAGAAAAGAGGGAGGACAAGAAGAACAGAAAAGCCTGACTGCAGTTTTAACCATTTCTCATCGCTCAGTGTTTTATCATAAAAAATAAAATCGGACAGACTTTCTTTGGGCCTTAGGCTCGAGTTTAGTCATGAGACATTTTTTCTAAGTTCCCAGACTCACAGGTGTTTTCTCTGTTCTGCTTTGGCTTGGACTTCTTTGGGTCTCGTCCATGTTTAGTATCAATCGTGTTGATATTTCACTGGGACTTGACTCAATCTAGACCTCTCTCAGGTTTCCTGGGTGCTTTGACTTGGACTCGCCTTGCTCAGGTGTGTTTTTGGACTCGGACTCGTGTCATTATTTTTAACCCAGTCTTGGGGGCGACCTGCCCCCCGACCTCGGCACCATAACTATCTGGATGACTGGACTACTACTATAGGTAAGTGAGAAACTATGTTCGGGTGAGCTGACCCTTTGAGGGCTGTGAATCCTCCACAAAAATGTTGTGAAAGCTTTTTTTTGTACGTCACAGTTACTATATGGGCCAACATGAAAGACAGGTGCTTCTCACTCACCTTCCCAGTTCTCTCCTCCTCAGTGCTGCTCCCTCCTCCATCTCGCTGCTCCTCCCTCGCCATCTCTCCTCCTGTGTGCTTGGTCTTGCAGGGACGCTTGCCCTTTGGCTTGTTGAGGTCATCGTCATGGCAGCGGAATGGATGGGATTCAGGTGAGGAAGAGGTAGGAGGCAAGGACGGGAGGAAACTGGAGACCCTGCGGCTCTCCCTCAGCTTCTGATGCTTGTACTGGAGGCGTGAAGAAGTGAAAGATGCAGGGGAGGGTTGCCGAGGGGCAGAGCCGACCGGTTGCCAGGGCAGATGGGTGGGAGAGGAGGGCGGGGCCAGGTGGAAACCTGAACAAAAACACAGGCAGAAATAACAAATCAGTATCCATCGTTTTCAGGCCAAAACAATTTTGGTAGAACCATCAGCTCTGTGCGCGACACCAGCAAAGCAGGAAACTGTCACCGTGAAAACTGCTACAAGTCAAATGACGTTATAACAGTGGATAAAAATATCAGTGGATATATGACTGTGTGCGATGTTTTATGCAAATTCTCAAGGTGAAGCAGCACCGTGGTATCCTGGACACTCCTCACACACTGATGGGAACTGTTTAACATTACGTTCTGTCAAATTTACTGCTGTATAACGGCACCTGAACTAATGAGCACAAACTTTGTGTGCAGCTTTCACTCCCTCATCATCCGTCTCCTCTCTCTTGTCTCTGTGAGTGTGTTTGTGCACGTACATGCACGAGTTCCCTCCTCGCCAACAAATGAGCCACTGTCTGTCCTTCAGCAAGGGACGAGTTAGATAATAAGAGACAGAGAGAGAGAGGAACAAAGAAGTGCAGCGCCTCCTCGCATGAGTGGAGCAGCAAGTGAGCGGGCGTGCAAGCGGGTGAACGAGGCAGCAGATAGTGGGGGAGGGGAGGAGAGAGAGTTTTCTGTTTTCCACTGCAGGCGCCTGCAGAGAACACACACACAAACACACACAAGCTGTCTTTTCACACACACACACAAAACCAGAGATGTGGAAATGAGTGTGTGCACGTGCACACACAGAGCCAGAGGTTGTTTCTAAGAGCCGACGGGGAGTCACGGCGCTTCCATCTGCTGAATTATTTATCAGCCTGGACATGCACACACATTGTGAATACGTACACACTCATTCTCTGTGAACAGGATTAACATACACTGCACATAATGACGGCTTGTGTGTGTGTTTGAGGCTACTTAACAGGAATTTATTATTTACTGGACTCACATTTGCACACACACACACCCACACAGGCTGTGTGAAGTGTATGCGTGCTCCTCTGGGCGTGTCGCAGTAAAACAGCTTTTCTAATCGTCAACCTGCAGCGTTTATTGTTTTTTCAAGCGTGACATCATCATTACCTCATGTTCTTGGCCCCCTGTCAATCAAATAGTGCATTCAAACCAGACTGTGTTTACCACGTCCAGCGATGCATTAACAGACCAAACACAGCACTGCAACTTGAAGTATTGCAAAAAAAAACAAACAAACAAAAAAATCGCTCACAGGCATCCATTTTAAGAGACATCTGTAAAACTGTTGATCTGCAGCTTCCACCTGCAAACAAGGTCAGTTAGCACTGGGTTTAATGACTTTTTAATCCCGGAAGGTTTTTGTTGTATCGGCGTGTGACAGGCAGCTGCGCACGCTGAGCAGCAAACAGGAGACACACTGCTGAGTGTGTACAGTAGGTCAAACAAAACAGAAATAAACCTGGAAGCCTGACAATAGTGTTAAATGGGGAATTTTCTCAAACTTGAAGTTTATGAGTCGTGACAGCCACTGACATGTCTCCTGAAGAGTGAAGAGAGAGAGAAAAGGTAAAACAGCAATACAGTGAATGTCACATATGCTCTTTATTGTGTGGTTAGAGAGAAGACCTGATATTCTTTGCAGGGTTTTTGGCTTCTCTTTCCTCTGTAGTCTGGTGTTTAAACGCCATTAGATTTACAGATTTTTTTGTGGGTTGTAAAATCTAAAAATAGTTTGGAAATCAAACACACCACTTGTGTTACGCCGAGTTGGGACTTAATGGGATTTGTTTAGTCTGAGTAACAGTGAACGTGACTGAAGTGACATCCTGAAGGGAACATGTGGAGAATGAACACAGCACAGAGGAAAAAAACGAGGAGGAGGCTGCAAACATTCCCTGTGCATTACTGTGAGTGTGACAGCTCCATCTGGGACATGTTAGATGGCTATTAGCACGCCACGGGGCAGCAACGGGTTTAGACACATATACACACAGGAAAATACACACACATGACGTTGCCGTCTGTGTTATTCCGGTCGTGTGCTGCTGCAATCACAGACAGAGGAAAAGAGAGGTGAGCGAGGGACAAGAGAGGGTGGAGGAGGAAACGGAGAGGTGGAGGACTGATGACAGCAGAGACAGAGACAGATTTCAACAGCAGCAGAAACACCCTCTGCTCTGAACTCAGGGCGCTGCCTTCAGGAAAAAAGTGCTGAAGATGACAAAATCAGATTAAAACTACATAAAATTCATCTGGGAAATTAGCTGAATGTGTGTGATCAGTTTCTATCAACATAATAAAAAGCCCATAAAAACTCAGCCATCATGGGTGGAATGCAAAATATGTCTGGTGTGTTCAGAATATGATTCGGCCAGACTTTTGTTTTTTATTGATTCTGATTGGTTTCACATGCTAAAATCATTGAGACACATGTTTAATTTTGTGCCGCAGCTAAACATTAGTCATTCTCGCATCAAAAACAGGAAAGAATGACCATAAAAATGCTATTTTTTAGAGTTGCTGGCCTAAATGCATTGTATTAACATAAACCTTAGTTCTACGCATTGTAAAGTAAGTGCTTTCAGACATAATCTCACTCAAGTCAATAATTTAAAATTAGCACTTAAATTAATTTGTAATTTAATCTCTAAACAAGAGGTGGAATGAACAGAGGCTGAGATGGATGTGTCTCATTATGTGCGACATCATTCCATTTAATTAATTCCCAAATTTTACAAGCTCCAAATTGTTTGACATTTGATATGTACAAATCATTTTGAGATCCCTGCATCACTGCAACAGCAAAAGTCTGCTTTATAAAAGGAACACACACAAAACAAAAATGATCTAAATTTAAAGAAGAGGGTAGAAAAATAAACTCGTTACCATCTTTCATCGATACGTAGGTTTCTGTCTGTTTTAAAGGGGTTCCATTTTATTTTGGCTATGTTATATTTAAGTGGGTGCACACAAGTAAATCAAATCAAAGTGTTTATTGTCATGCGCACAGTAAGGAAACGTGTTTCCCTGTACAATGAAATTCTTACTTTGCTGTCCACAATAAATGCCAAACAATACAAAGTGAAATATAAGGTAGATAAGCATGCATCCACATGGAAGCAGAAACAGTACATCCAGGCAAAACTGTGACCGTCGAGAAAGAAGCAGCTTTAAAACAACATCTACAAATGACTGTTGAGTAAATCTGTTGGCTTTACCTCTCAGGTCGTCCCTCCTCATTAACACAGTATCGCACCAGCCTCCGTTGAGCTCTGACGCCCCTCTGACATCTGGGACACCCACTCTGAACTTCCTGTCACCCTCTGCTGGTGTCTGGCTGGATGGCAGCCATTCGCTGAGCTCCCCGGGGAGGCGGGGCTTGTTGAGTCGGAGGCCGTTCAGCTCGATGCAAACCTTCAGTTTCTTCACATCATCTGTGGTCGAGTCTGCAATGAACCAGTGAGGAGAACCAAAGATTTTATGAAACACGACAAAAATAAATGATTAGGCTGAAATGTTTTGGCAAATAAGTGAACAGAGGATAATTATTAGAAAAGCACAGAAGAGCTGTGTGTTATCTGCATCGCTGTCAAACCTCACACCATGTTCTGGCAGGAATGGGAAGGGCTTGCAGAAGCCACAAAAAGGTGAAGAAATAAAGCTAATAAATGGTTTTTAAAATACAAGCAAAGAGAAACTAGTGGTAAAACTGAAAAGCAAATGAAAGGTTAATATGGAAATGTAAAATCAGCTGTTTCATGTCAAGCAAAGCTGGAAATATAAAACATTGCTGGCTGTCTTCAGCTGTAAACACCTACTGGATCCAGTTTCTGGAGGACTTGGTGAACTCGTACCATTTGTTAACTCCCGTGGTCCTCGTCCCGCTCTCCCTCCCTCTGCTCCTCCCTCTCTCTTTTCAGCCGGCTGCTGATGATGCTGCTCTGGTGGAAAGGCTCCAGACTAAAGATACGCCTCCGATTTATTACCACACCGGGATTCAAACCTCCGAGTCCTGATGCCGAGGTCGGCATGGAGGTGTTTCCCTGAAACAGGCCCCTGGCTGTGGGTACAAATCTTTGTTGTTGCTCTGGCTGCAAGACAAAAACCTTTTTCTTCTTCTCCTCTTCTCCATTTTCATTCTTCTTCTCCTCCTCTGCAGAGTGGCCATCCTTCTCTCGGAGGACAGGGAGGTTGTCGGAGTGGCGGTGCAGCGGCAGGACAGGGAGGTGGCTGTGTGGGCAGGACATCTGGAAACCTGCAGGAGCAAAGACAGACATAAACCAGAGTGAGGATGAATTTCAGGGTAAATTTGAGAGTGAAAAGATCAGTGCAGTCATTTTTATGCTGATTTTATTCATGCAGTTTGAGCCAGAGGTTTTTAGGTGAATACGTGCACATTTTCTGATCAACCGTCCTGTGAACAGTAACACAGTTCCTTCTGCTATGGATTTAACAGTCTGGCCAGGACACAACCAACACAGCCTTAAACTCAGACAACGTGCATGCCTGAGCTAAAAGTTTCAATAAGCAGGTGTTTTTAGTTGGGTCTGGGTAATCAGACATCTGTTCTGGTTGACGTTACACTGGCAGTTATTTAACATCACCACACTCCGCCGGCTGCAACAAGGTCAACAGGAGACTTGTAGACATGTCGATAAAGCAAGTCAGTGAGGGGTTAATGGATTAAAACAACTGACGCACCTGCGTGTAAGGCCTTTAAGTTCAAGGATGTTTAGGGATTTAAAAAAACAACAACAACAATAAGGAGACAAACTAGAGAAACTGAAGAGAAACAACTCAAGTTCTTGGTGTAATTTGAGGTTTGAATCTGAAAAAAAAAATTTGTTATCACAAGAGCACAAAGTAATTTTTACATTATGGCAGGATAAAAAAGGTATTTTTTTGATATCTTAAGAAATGACTTACTGCATGTCAAGGAAGAAAAAGGAGACAATAAACATCATGAGAAAACTATTCTGTTATCCAAAAATGAAAAGTTCATCTAGAGATAAAATAAAAAAAATATAATTACAAAAAAGAAAACTGCCATTCTTGGCTTCCGTACGTCTGGGTTGCGTTTTGTTAGAATCAAGTCCGGGAACCCCGGACAACACCATACATGACCCAGAAAGGGCAGCGGCTCTGACCATAAGGGATCCAGGATCCAGGATTTTGAGCTTAAAACTTGTTCTAAACTCAACCGAGATCCTCACACTTCAGTGAAACATCTTTATCGTTGGACACTTTGGTCGCCAATCAGCTTCCATACCTCTCAGTGCTGAATTGAAACTGAACCACATCTAGATTTTGTGCATAAAACTTTTTCTACACTTGCGTTAATTTTTATTGTCAGGTGGCAGAGAGAGTGTGAAACCATGATGTTGAGCTGTGTGTGAGTTTTGTGTGTATGTGCAAATGTGTCTGTGTGTTTTGTGCACGGCAACGTGTACACTTGGAGTCCTAAAGCAAATGAAAGCAGCAGGAGACTCGCAGCTTACGGCGAGTGAGGTGCACCGAAAGTTCAAATATGCACGTGTGCTAGTGTGCGTGACAGACACACTTTTACACACAGGGTGCACCAAAACGAAGAGAGAAAAAAGTGACTTCAAGCCAAAAGACGAAGTGTGTTTGTGTGATTTTGTCTTTTGTGAAACTGAGTGTGCATGTGAACATGCACGTCATCCTGCAGGACTCTCCGGAAATCCACTTACCTCTCGGTGCCTCGGCAGCGGCTGCAGAGGGAGTTCTTCCTCCTCCTCCTCTTCGCCTCCCCTCAGTCTGTTGGCAGCACTCCCACCCCCCTTGCCCTCCTCCCTCTTTCTTCCTCTCCTCCTCCTCCCTCCCCCCATCTCGCTGCTGGCCGTCTGCCAGCTCCTTCTCCACTGCTGCTGCTGTGATGCCTTCTTCTTCATCTTCTTCTCCTCTTCCCCCCTCTTTCTCCTTCAGCTCCAGCTCAGAGAAGCGCAGCATTGCATGCTGAAGGATAAAAACGTCAGGATTTACTCAGAGTCCAGTCAGAAATACAGGACAGTGAGTGTCAATGTTTTGCTTTAAACTGCAGTGAAGTCAGAGAGGAGCGTGTGGCTGCTCGTTTTAGACTTGCACAGGCAACTTTACCTGTCTTTTCTTTAGTTTTGAACTTGTCAGCTAACAGGAATTAAATACCCCATTATCTGAGAGGCACAATTCAATTTATCTCATAATCCATGGCTGAAAAAGGAACTATGAATAATTACCAGCCTGTTTTTGTTTGCTTTTAGCATGCAGCTCTCTGAATTTGACACAAATAGCTTATTTCACATGAACTCAACTACCACACTAGGTAAGCTGGTGGGAAAAACTACAACTGGACAAACATTGCTGGTTTTGCTGTTTGAACCAGTTCCCACAAAACTTTACCACCATCCCTAAAAAAAATGTATCAGCATTTTCATAAGTACTGATCACATGCAGTTTGTGTCAATCTGAGATATTTAACAGCATTTTCAAAATAAAAAAAGAAAATCAAATGTTCAGAATGTCACTGGGATCATCACAGGTACAATATGTGACTAAACAGTGGGGGTACACTATAACAAAGGGGAAAATCTTGATGAAGGTGATGGAAGATGTACAGTTTGGTTTATGCTGCCAAAATGACTGCAGATGTAACATTCATGCACCGTAATTAGTTCTTACTGTGTAACTGAAGAGCAGAAAGGGGAGCGACATTTTAACTTGCCCAGACATTATTACAAACATAGCACAAATTAAGTCCAGGCCACAGTGACAGCAGACTTCTTTGATAGATAGGGTGGGGGGCTGTTCCTTTAAACAACCTCGCTGGTCTGCACTAACTCCACTCTCCCTGGTTGGACTAGCTCTGCTCTAACTCTCAGTGACGCTCCCTGTAATAACAGCTGTCAGCCACAGGTGAGTTTCTGCTGTTGTCTGGCAGCCAGAGCCGCGGGACGCTTCAGGGCTTCACCGCCTCGAACCACAAACACACCACAAATATAAACTTTCAACACTTGCTTTGTGAGGCCGGTATCTTAACACACAAGCTGAGGAAAACATCGAGTCCAGACATCAGATACAGACTCAGGAGGCTGTTTTCTTGCCTTAACAGAACATCAAGGTCACTAAAAGAGTCCAGCACCTCATGTCTGGCCTCTATTCTTTCACTACCTCTTAGATTCCTTTCTAACACTTGCTAGCTGGCACTTCAACTACATGTGCCACACTCACATCAACTGACACTTCGAGTTCTCTCAGTAACTACAGTTCAACTAGATTTAGAATGTGTTCTAAAGGTTTGATTGCAACAGACAGTGTAACTTCTATCAGTGCTCAAATGTTTATCTACCCCTCCAGTCATTCACTGCTCACATGTAAAATGGCATGAGCTTCTCTCAGTGCTTACATCCAGTCTGTCGTACTTCTTTTATTAGTCAAATTTCAATTTAGCCTTGGGTTTTATCAGCGCTCAAATTTTATCTGCCACTAAATTTTTTTTCTGTGCTTATTTCAACAACCACTTCAAATTCTTTCACTGCTTTCACTTTATCTTTCACTTGTCAAAACACACTGCTTTGTTCTTTCAGTGTTTCTTTCACCTGCCACCTCTACTTCTTTCATTATTCCCTTACACATACAGCTCATTTTAAAGACAGTTTCAAACATTTCCAGGTTTTCCAGCTGAAGCAAACATTTTGTCTTCAGAATTTGTGGTATTTTTCTATAATTACTGAACAAATATCATCATCATAACCTTATCAATAATTTCTGGAAGGCCTCACTCTATACAAAAAAAAAAAAAAAACCACACCCCCCCTTTGTCATCTCATGACTACACCTGAATCCTCGTCCGCCCCTCTCTGGCAGACATTTTTATGTTGTTTTCTCAAGAGACAACGCTGCTGCATGGCTACAACAGTCTCATTCTTAATCACAATCACTATGTTTTTGGTTTTTGCAGTAAGGCCAGGCTCTTGTATCCACTGGTAACCAGCAGTAACCATTGTTAACGGCCCCCCGGACGCTCCCTGACAGGCCAGTATTTCTTGCTGACCTCACTTTGCCCTGACCACAAACTCATTTAAAGAATTAATGACCTGTGAAACGATCTACAAATCCATCCAATACTGCCACCGCCTAGAGCCAGCAGCAGCCAAGGGCGTAGGAGCAAAATGTGAGTTAATCTGAGCTGTAAGGCCCCACCACCTCTCCCACCCTCCTCCAGGAGTCGCGACTGGCTGAGCAAACAGCCCAGCAGAGGAGAAGTACTCAGAGCTTTTACTTCGGTAAGAGTAGTAATACCACAGTGAAAAGTTCTGCATTCAGAATTTTACCTAAACATCAAAACATACTTCAGGCACCAAAAGTGAAAGGATTACGATAGTCTCCCAGTTATTTGAAATTGATCCCCGACATTCTGCAACTGATGCAGATGTGGTGCAGTTCTGTTTAAGTTAGTTAGCCAGCTATGTGTAATAAAGCATACTGCATATAAACAGTAGTTTAAATTCCAAAATTTCCATGAAAATGTACAGGAGTCTGGTGGGGAAAGGTTTAGCCCTTTACCATTGTTCAGGTCCATTGTCTGGAGATTTTATCTCGGTTCTGTTGAGATAACACTTGTTTGCACAAATTAACTCATTCTCAAGGCAATTAATGTTTTAATTGTGGTTCCTGTTTATTATTTATTTATTTATGCACTGTTAACCCCCAAGTAGAACACTGCACAACGTAAGCGACAGAATTTACAGTTTGTCATCGGCATCGTCACTCTAACTTCAACAAACCAGCCTCCATCAGAAAAACCAAAGAAGTCAGAGGTGGTTAGAGAAATTCAGGGTAATCTGGGCTCCATGGACAAGGAGGAAGAGGAGGATTTCATTAAAACAAACACTGAGTCCCTTCCTCCTCCACCTGCCAAGAGATAGGAGAGGAGGAGGGGAATATTTAATTTGAGAGGAAAGGAGGATCTTGAGAGGACGAGGAGGTAAAGACGGAAAGAAAGAACAAACTGAGATGAACAGCGGCAGAGAAACAAGTAAAAAGTAATGATGAGGGAGAGATTTAAAGATATTCTTCTTTCTATTTCTTCAGGTTGACCAACAGAGCTGGTGTGCTATAGTCACTCGACCTCAGCACAACCCAAGACTTTTGCAGAGAGAAGAGGATGAGAAAGAAGAAGAAATCGAGAGTGGGAGGAGGAAGGCAGTGATTCTCTTCCTAACACCTGCGTACACCTAATAACATGTTTTTAGACCAGACACCTCGACAAAGCCTCCATACTCCTCCTCATACCAAACTCCGACCACATCATACATCCACTATACAAAAGTTAAACTGCACAAACATCTGCATCAGCACAAAGTTTCTACGTCCAACCCTTGATGATGTGTCTCTGGGTCAGGAGTTCCTACTTCTGATTAACTCTTCAGAAAAGCAGCAGTTTTGGTTCATTAGCACATCCTGACTGCACACACCACCTCCAGCCTACCAACAGCCTCCTGCATATCTCTGTGGTCCACCCAACACAATTTCACTATGGGAAGCCAGTGAGGGATCACATCCTTGTTGCTGCACTAGAGACCTGGACTGTAGCACAAAGGGAAAAACCAAAGATTATGTGAACAAGCCCAGAAACAAGACACACCACAAAGTTACTCAGTTTCCTCCCAACATGCTATGGCTGAGGGACTGAAACCACAATGCTGAGAAAAACCAGAAACCAACACTATGATGATATTAAAGCTGTGTACTGACCCTCATGTTAACCCATACGATATGGCCATTATGTAAATCCTAAGTACTTAATAAAGCCATTTCCTCAAAGACACAGAGCTCAACACCTTTTTCCTTCACTACAACATTACTGTGTCTGTTTGCTGCTATTGTACGAGTCCTCTTCTGTATTTTCCTGTCTTAGGACGTTAATATTATATATCAAATTTGCAATTTTTGATGTAAACTATCTGGAGAGAGAAAGTCATAAGTTAGAAGTGGTACTTCTCCTGGTTTAAAATAGTGCTTTCTTCACCAGGCCTGTACAGCAGAGCTGGAGCACATAGAAGGGCTGGCCTGTTTCCTCTCAGTACAAGTTAAACTGCCTTAATGAAGAGTAAGCAGACAACAAAGCCAAACAGACAGCAGCAGTACGTTACACTCCAGACCACCAGTGAAAATCAGACCTGCCTTTTCTGTCTCAGCAGATGGTTACTGTGTCACTGAGAAACTGAAATGCAGACTGGGGTCTTACCTGGAGTGCTTTCTGCTCCCCGCTCAGCTTGCTGGAGTTGCCATAAAGCTCCGTGGTCAAGCATTTCAAGCGATCACTCACAAAACCGGATGAGTTGGCGATGCATTTAGTGAGGCCACAGTGCCGGTCCTTGCTACAACTAGGGCCCTCATCCTCATCTGCCTGGGGATCCATGCTGTCCTGGGTGCCTTTGCTCCCATCTCCACAGCTGGTGGAGGTGAGGAGAGAGTTGGAGGTCTCTCTTCTGAGCCCCATTTCATTGGAAGAAAGCTCTTCACATTTAAGATCCCTGTTAACTGGCGGTTCTGGAGTCAAGTCTGCAGGCATCCTATTCAAGTCTCCAGTGGCAGGACTGCCGGGTGAAGGGTGCCGACAGGTTGGTCCTGGAGGAAAAGCGTTTCCATATGTGAGGATCCTGGGATTGTTATTCACACAGGTTTGGTTGTTTACTAACGCTTGGCCCTTAGAGAGGGTGTTTCTGCAGTTTGGCAGATTAAAACGGTTCTTTCCACACCCGGCTCTGAGACTGGTGTTTCCACAAGCTGAGTGCACTCCACTCCAGTTCTCACAATTTATAAATTGAGGACTAATGCCCCTGCAGTTTGGGGCAACAGGGTTTCTATGTCCACATGCTAAACTACTAAAAATTCTGGGTTCACAAGTGGGAGCCCTCTGAGCCACATTTTTGCAACATGGGCCCACAAAGGTTCTGCTGATGACATTTGGACTATTTGCATCTCCACTGCTGGAAGCTCCAGGGCTGGTGTTAACACACAGTGGTGCCCTGGTGTTTTTGACTCCTCCAGCTGGAGCCCTGGGATTCAAACTCCTAGAAGCTGGGACCTGGGGACTAAAGCCTCTGTGTGCCAGCCCCCTGCTGCTGCAAACTAAATTGTCTGAATTGCTGTTGCCCACATAAACCGGACTCTTTGGGCTCGTGGCTGTACATGCCATGATGTTGTTAGATGTGGTAAATTCACTAGAACAATTTTCGTTGCTAAGAAGACCCTGTGAGTTGCCTTTTCTGGAAGGGCTTTCCTCAGGGCTAAGCATTTTATTGGTGACAGCTTCTGACTTAGTATCCGTACTAGCACTCTTCCCATCAACACCATTACTCCCACTACAAGTGACACCCCTCATCGTGTCCCCAGCACCACCAGAAGCTCCAGTTCTACATTTTCTTGAAAACTGTTCCGGACAAGTTCGGGCACAGCGCATCGTCTGCTCCTCTGGGATGTCTGGAAATGGAATAAGTGGTTTTTCCTCTTCAGGGGTCAGCTCTGGGATCCCCTCTTGATTAGATGGGGGTGAAGTTGAGGTATGGTGAGAAGGTTGTGGTTGGGAAGTGTGGGGTACTAAACCTAGTCCCTGCTCTGCAGCCTGGCTAGGAGGGGGACCTTTTGGAGGCCATGGCTCTCCTTCTTGGATGTGGTTACAGCCATGCTTGAAGGAATCAGTTGATGTGGTAGATAGGGAGCTGTGATTGTTAGTGGACAAATCATCATCTGCCTCATCACGCACCAGGTCAATACAAACTATGTCATCTCTGGCAGAGTGGCTTTTACCTGAATCCTTTATGGTTTGGTTTGTGGACTTTGCCCTCTCATTGTCAGTCTTACTGCAGCTGTCAGCTTCCAGCCTATCCTGGTTTTTATATAGTTCTGCATTCCAGTGTTCATCTTGGGTTTTAGACCTGTTCTCGAGTTGGTCTTTGGTGTCAACACCTGCGTAGGATGACATGGGTGTTGGGACCATCTCCTGGGAATTCTGATATGGGTGGACTCCATATGGGAGGGCATGTTTTGGTGCAATGTGAGGTGGGTAAAAGCTACTGCTGCCAAGCATGACTGAGTGGGGGTACACAGGTCCTTTGCTTGGTATGGTCACGCGTTGCATGGACATATTCTCTGCAAGTGAGTATGGGATGTAGCAATTAGTGTAACCTAAACCAGGAGGGAGGTAGGAGTCCCCAAAGATTTGGCTGGAGGAATTTCCATTTTCCGGGCGATGAGGCTGGCTCTCTTGAGCATCTGTTTTAGCAGGAGTTGTGCTATGTTTTCCAGAACATGTACGAGTTTCTGCTCTGCTGTTAGGAGGGCCTTTCTCTGGACCAATAGGACTGCCTTGTGGCCAATCAACTTTGGATTTTGGTGAAGGGGATGATGCAGTCTGTCTTCCCCCTGAGGCAGGACTGGGGATACTGGTCACCTCAGCTGTTGTGGAGCCAGGTGAGCTGTGAGGTTGCAGTTGATTAGGAACACCATCTAAACTCTTTTTCATAGTTTGGGAGCATCTGGTCTGCTCAGAGCTCATAGCTGTGGAAGGACCTGGAACAACCCAAGAGGAGGGCACGGTGCTGATCATTTCAGGATGATCTGGAGTCTTTGCTGACATGCTAACAGGTGGGTGTAGACCTTCTTTTAGGTGCTGGTCCTGACTGGCTAGAAGCCCATAACGAGATGGTGATAAATACCCCAATTTGGCCAGGGCCTCTGTTTTAGATGGGAGTCCATTTGAGAATCCTTCCAGCTCTTTGGCAGACAGATCCAAAGGTTTTTCTCCAGAGTTTTTGGCATGTTTTTGAGGTACAGCTCTGTCCAGCGATGTCTTTGCAGGTGACTTCTCTGCACTACAGCGGTCTGAACTGGCATCTTTGGTTTTGTTGCTGCCTGAGTGCTTGGGAAAGCAGTGCTTAGAGCTCAGGCTGCCCATGTAAAAGGGGTGAGATGCTGAAAGTGAAGTTGAGGATGAGGAGGTGGTTCTGTAAAGGGATTTCTGGAGGTCTGTAGTGGTTTTGTTGAGGGGTTGAGGTGGGGGAACTGAGGATGTAGGCTGGGTAACTGGGGGTGACAGTAAGGCAGCAGCGTTAGCTGAACTGTTAATAGAGGCACCGTTACTTCCACCCCCACTACTACTAGGAGTGTTTTCGGTGGAAGAGGGCTGACTAGACTTAGCATTAGTGCTAGTGCTACCATGTTGTTGCTCAGTATGGTGAACAGCTTGAGACTGGGGCTCCTGGTGGATCTGTGGACTGGTACTAAAGGCAGAAGGTTCCTGATGTATCTGAGGCCCAAGACCCTGCAGGGCCTTGTCCTGACAATGGGACAGGGTTGCAAGGACAGCGGGAGCTGGAGCGGCTGTCGGGATCCTGATAGGAGGGCCCAGTGGGGAGGAGATATGGGTCGGGGCATAAAGAGGCAGGTAGAAAAGTCTGTCTTCCTCAGGTGTGCTGCTTCCAGCCCCAGCGGCACACAGAGATTGATATGCCAGCTGCTGGTGGATGAAGGGGGATGGCTGGGAGAGGAAGGAGGCCTTGTATGCCATGTCCAGGAAGGGGTACATTGTTGCATCAGTGTAAGGGCTGATCCAGGGCAATCTCAGGAAGCTGCCAGCATTATTCAGGCCCAGTTCTGACTGCTTGTTATTGGGTAGGACTCGGTGATCCAGCCCTAAGCCATCACCTCCTGCAGCAGGGAGAACCAAGGGTTTCTGTAGCCCTGGTGGTAGACCTTTATAAAGTCCAACATATCCATTTGTAGATTTCTGGCCATCGAGCGGGGTCACATCTGGTTTGTACAGTAGGTCGTAGCCAAGCGGGAGAGAGGTGCCAGGCTCCTGGGGCTTTTCAGCTGAGAGAGGATGGATGCCAGGATAGAAAATCCCTCCATGGGGGCGGAGGTTTTCCCCTACCAGAGCGTTGTGGTCAATACTGAGGGCAGCTAGTGGGTTCATCCTGTATGCTGCACTGGCATCCACCTGCAACACAGAGAGCAAAGAAAGTAATGACAAGACTGGGGGATAAAACAGATCATGCAAATCTCTGACCATACCACTGTGCTCTTCTACATCCAAACAACAAACAAGGGCATCCACAACACCCGAAACAGAACACTGAAGTTTTCTGAGCTTCATTGCCTGTGCTACATTTTATTCTTTGGTCCTGATTGGGTTACTCTTTTTTGTGGAACTCAGCCCATTCCTAAAGTTCATCGTTAAACGCTGTGAGAGTTGAACTCAGTTTTTTTACAACACAAATGCAACACCTGTAAAGCCTGAGAAACTACTTAAGGTTATGTTTTTGTTGGATTTCTGTTTCTGTTCTCAGAATCACTTCATTCAAAATGTGATAACTTCTGACTGTCAATAGATATCAATCAATCAATCATCTATTTCCTCACTTAACTGGATTTTAAAACATCTGAAAAAAATGAGCCCAATGCGACATCGTCAGATTGTCAGTTTCTCTAAATTCAGTTTGTCATAAAAAAACAATTGTGAAAATCATAAAATCCAACTTAAACAATTAATTATGAAAGTAGTTGCAGATTAATTTTCTGTCAGTTAATTAAAAATGATTCAAATTAGATGATTAAAACAATTCATTTTCTACCGAGTCATTTCCACCTTATAATAAAATAGTACATGTATACAGTAGCTGTTGGCTGTGTGCAGTGTTTCATAGACTGTAATCATTTTAAACTGTGTTCTCAGCTTTAACAGCCACTTTACACCTGTCTGTGTATTCAAATGTAAAGCGACTGGCCACACAGAAAACCCTCAACACTGAGGTACTGATATTTGCATAATTTTCTTTAGCAAACACAGGAAACAATTGACGTTTAACAAGAAAATATTCACATAAGAGATAAGAGCTTGATTAATTTACTGCCTCAAAAAGTCTCAAAATGCATTGTACATTTTGTCAGAAATTACACTTATTCCCAAACAACACAACTCTTTCTTTTGTCCAGCTCAATCAACCAGACTGATTAAATCAAAGCAATTCTCCCTTCAGTACAGTAAATACTCTGAAATAAACTCTTTAGTGCCACATGGTTAAATTCACCCTTCAAAGAAAAAGACGAATGAAGGAAAAAAACTGGGATTTGTCCATTTAGAGTCTCCACCACAGAACATGAAGCCTGTGACTGCACGTTTCCTTTCACTGGAGAAACATAAGAGCAGCTTTATTTATTTGTTAGTATTCCTGGATGACACGCAACGCCTGGAGCTACACTTTCACTCTCCCTCGACAAATCCAGGAAGCACAGGGAGATGAAAAAAAGAGGGGAGGCACTGGTGAGAGAAGAAAGCAGAGAAAGAGGAGGCATGAGGTAAACAAAGAGAGAGCGAGAGACAAAGTGAAAGCCTGGCAGCGAGAGAGAGAAAGGGGAGAGCAGAATTAAAGGAAAAACGGCTAATTGAATATCCTGTCACACGGCGACGGCAACGATCTCGGATTGGCTATCAGCCACAGGGCCATTAGGAAATTATCCAAACAGCTGGGTGGCCACCGAGACGTAGAGGGAGCACAGGGATCCTTCACTCACTCTGGAACCAGAAATAAAAGGGACTGAAAAATGTAGCAGAAGGAAATTTGTACTCTGAGTTTGGGGGTAATAAAAAAGACAGCGATGATATATTTTGTGCACATTAATGTTATCCACAAAAAGACTATATAAAGATGTGATGTGGCCTTACACAGCCTGTCAGGAACTGGTGCTGTTTTCCATGGTGAAACTTTTCATGACCCGATACGATGTACGATTAATGACAAAACGTGTCATGGCGTACCGTGACTTCCTAGACCATAACATTTTGTGACATTTTATGACAAGACTTAATGTCTGTCTCCATGTCTGCTACGGTCTTGTAACGTAATTTTCATAAACATTCCAGGTCCATGAGCATCCATGCAGACTCAGCACGGATGTTCGCTCAACAAAAAGCCCCAAGTGCTCATGTACCAGAGTGCTTGGAAAATGTTTGGAGCTAAAAAGGTTTCTGATTTGTCCCAGTCAAGGCACAAGCTAAACACCAGCTACAACTTCAAATCTGCTCTTTTGCATTTAGAGTTGTCAGGTTTGGATGTGGTGAAAACAGCTTCAGACAAAACATGAACTTGACCTTTGACCTCACCATGCTGTGAGCCTGCAGTCCTCTGATCTGTGCCTCAGGCGAGACAGTCTGCCTCACCGATGGCGCTCAGCCTGCCATGTCTGCAGACGGAGAGAGAAACCACATGAGAGGAGGCCACTTCCCAAACACAGGCTGAAACCGACACTGAGGTTTCCTTACACAAACAGAAACATCTGGTTTCTATGAATTCTCTTTTAAACCACACCAGCGACGACAGACTCAGTACATCTTCGGTAGTGCATCGATGGGTAGAGAATTAATCTGCAAATATGCTGTTTTACTTTAAAAGCTAAACATTTTCTGGCTTTTGCTTCTTAAAGATGTGAATTTGATGCAAGTGATAGTAAAGTAACTATTTTGGATTGCTGTCAAACACAAGACATTTGAAGGCATCACCTAAAGGAAAATACTATATATAGTGTATCTTCCACTATTATGAAAAAAGAAAAACTAAATAACAGGGGGCCCAGCACTGATCCCTGAGGTTCACCCCTGTACACCTCATGTGCATGAGTCAGGGTGACACACCATCTTATGCAAAGACAACAAATATTTGCTGTTTCTAGTTTCTCACACGTGAGAGCTGATGCTTGTCCTTGCCACATGACAGCAAAATGAATACCTTTGGGTTCTGAACCGTTGATGTCTTGGTCGGTGGTAACTGCTTTAAAATCTGGAGGAAAAAAAAAACCAATGGAGTCTGGTGTGCAGTTTTTCAATGCTTTTCAGCTGCACTGACAGAAAAACCACACATACAGCGAGAGAGGGCCGACAGACAGCAGACCTACAGCTCTTCCTCTGCAGTGATGTTGCGAGGCCCGACATTTGTGTGTGTATGTGTGCTTTATCACTGAGCCAGAGGACAGATAAGGCACGTCGCCTCATTTCCCAAGGAACTCATAATCCAGCAGACAGAGAGAGAAAGTATCAGCACTGCTCGACCAGCACACACACACAGTAATTGATGGCTGTTAGGGAGCTGGGATTTCAATAACAGCTCTTATCTGTAGACTACTGCAGGACAGATGTGTGTGTGGTGGCCATGCCTATCCATCAAACACACAAACAGCTGGAAGTGCTTGCCTGAAAATGTACAGGCAGAATTAAAGCCAAATTTCTGGGGGATGTTTCTCTCACTCTGTGAAAACTGAGTTTCTTTTCATGTTTTCAGATCAACTGCTACATCACTGAAAACATCTGTTGAATAAAATGAGGCGCACTGGAGGCGAGATGTGCAACATATCTTAACTTTCACTGACGTCAATGACATTACTCAGTATAGATCTTCCAAATATATAGACACACAAAACAACAATAAATTCTGAGAGATGGCAAAGACACAAAATAACTACAAAATGTAGAGAATGACCACAAAAACTCAAAACAGCTACAAACAGATGCAAAACAATCACACACAGTCACAAGACAAGGGAATCCAGGCAGTCACAACTACAGAAACAAATCAACAAACACAGCCCCCCAGGACGCCACCCTCCCGGACAGCCTCAACAACTTTTATGTGAGGTTTGACAGGATGAACACAGACACCCCCTCAAAATCCCCGTGTCCCAGGGGACACTGCTTTTCAGGTGATGCACACACAGCTCCTGAAGCCCCTGAGACAGGTAAACCCCCATGAGGTGGCAGGACCAGACAGTGTCCCCCCAAGAGTGTTGAGAGCCTGTGGGGATCAACTAGCTAGTGTGTATTATGGCTGCACGATATTGGAAAAACATGCGATATGGGTGTTGAATATTGCGATAGATATTATTGCGATATTTAATATTCCCCTGAGGAAATGGTATTTTCATTATCTAATCGAAGAAATACACTTTAATGTGGCAAAATACGCAGGCTATATGTATTCTGATTGAATTAATTGTAATTCAGGCTAACTATTATGTGGTGCGAACAAACTTCACAAATACTACTGCATACCTGTTGTAACAAAAAATAAAAAGGCATTACTCTCAATCATTTTATTCACATGTAACCATGTGTACAACATGTAATTGCCAAGAGCATCTGAACCAAGAGCTTTAACAGCTTTGAAACAAAACATTGCCTTGCTTGCCTGGTTTTCTATACATATTAAATAAATAAATAAAAATATTATAAAATCTTAGAAAACATAAAGTGCCCAGACTGTAAGTAAAT